GTACATTATGTATTTTAGTACAATTTTTTTTTGATTGCGTAGTGCATTTAGGTGCATGTGCTGCAAGATAGAATGTAAATACCTAAAACAAATATTCCTTACATTAATAGAGAATTGCCAAATATTCTCCCGGTCTCTTGACATGCGATCTGCATGACCATAAACTTGTGTAAGCTGTCATTTTGTTTTACCCTTCTGAATTTCCGAGCATTTGGCTTAAGACTTCTCAGATTCTGAAATTCCAACACCACCGATAGAGCCTTCTCTAAAAGTGGATAATTTCCCATGATGCTTAGCACTTAGCTGCCGTGCCATGCATACGATTTTTTACGATTCCTATAAATTTGCATATCTCGACATTTCGCTTTCGAAAACAACATTTAATTATGTAAGACATGATGTCAGTACCAAAAGCAATCCTCTTGAATAATTAATAAATAAAACAAATTTGACTAAATTTAGAATATATTAAAACGTGCGATGCTTTAACATCCGAGAAGGTAACCTGATAAAGATCTCCGTCCAGCAATGCGTAATTCTCACTTTGCGACGAAATTCGAATCTTCGAGGGAGGTACATTTCCTTTCACTTTATGCACGTGACGTAATGTCAGATCGTCGTTTAATGGAATGTCAGAATGCCGCCTGTCGATGATATTAAAAACAAGTACCCCACGAAGATTAGGGGCTTGGCGAGTAGTAGTCACAGTCGTCATGCGTCGTCATGAGGTATTCTCTGAGGTGTACAATACATGTTAAAGTAACAAATATTTGTTGACACATAAATCGACCACGCATTATGATGTTAAAAAAGCTTGTCTAAGGGTACCTCGATCCGTTCACAGTGCCAGTTATAGGAACTGTTCTTCGTCGTGACGAAAACGACAATTGGCGATTCTAGTGTAATTCCTCTGAAGAAACACAATCGCTCCTAATTTTATGTATTGTATGTATGTATTGTTCAATTCCATGATTGACAAAAGATGACACAATGAATAAAGTTTTGCTAAACCTTCCGACTTGCTTGATTATTCTTGATTAAATCGACGCGTTGACAAATAAAGTAAAAGATTATTGCTTAAACTCTCGTGGCAAGAATACAAAATGTTTTATCATTAGTTCTTAATAAATGTGTAATGCACCACAGAGTGTACATTCTGCCGCATACTAGGCAAACGGGGTGACCGCCGAGTGTTGCAAAGATCGCTAATTTTCAATCGTGCATATATATATATATATTTAATATTATTTTGTCACAAATGCATGTTTTAGTAAATTCGAGTTTTAATAATGTTCAAATAATAGGAAACAATCTAAATGTACAAGTCATTGCTTAAAAACTGTTAAGATAACATTCCGTACTAGGGGTACTATGACGTCATATATACTGTGTAAGCAAATATTCCCGATCTATTATATGACGTGACCCATGGAATTGGCAGCCGATCGTGTTTCATTGCTCGCACCCGATAAGTGTTGTAATAAAAATGTTCAATTAACTCAGCAAATGCATTCAGTGTTTTCTGTCGATTTTCATTAATGCCCGGGGATCTTTCCACTAAAAGTCTGGCACGCATCTTAGGTACGTTAATTGACATCTTTAACTATCTAACTTCGTCACAGCAAAGTTTCATTGGAAACAAACACAAATACCACTTATTTAAGTTTCTTGATAACAGAAATTAAAATACGCTGTCTCTGTCTACGTCACATTCGTCACAGTGTTGCACGCTGCTTCTTTTTGGGGTCCATCAAGTGGTTGATTGGTTCATACGACCGTTTGAACCAATTCAATTAAGATATCTTAAGCTGAGTAATGCATCTAGCTATGAACACATAGCTGTTCCAGTACCTGATTAGAACTTATATAAATTTGGGGGGGGTCAAACCAGAAAAGGATGTGATATCATGTAAATCATATAAATAAATTATTATTATTATTATGACTATAATTTTTCATAAACAAAAATGCGGTATTCGTTAGATAAAAAATCATAATCACGCATGTGCATCGATTGTTATTGTACGTACCAAAAAACAAGTGCGCATGCATATAAGAGAATTTCATTGTTTTATCAAATGAATACTGAGATTTGTGCTACAAGAATAGCATTTTCATAATTAATTATAGTACAATGTATTTATTTATTTACATTCAGTTTCAGACAATTTTATAAATTACATGTTCTCAAAATACACGTCCATATTGCATCCATAGTTTCATTTGTTACGTAAATTAGTGCGAGCTTAACAATTATACAATCGTTGTCTATACTACACAGGCACTGTGTATAATTACATTTCCACCATCACTCCCCTCCCGCATGTGTGTATTCACAAACATAATTTTGAAAAACTTATTTAGCAATTCTCGTCGCAATTGTCATTAAGTTTGTTGTTGGGCATAAACAATCTTGCCCAATTATCCAAGCTATACAGTAAACAACACAAGAAAAATTATTTGTCTGTGAAAGACCAAGTTACCAATTTTTGAAGATCATTCTGAAAATTCATGGTGATGTTTTGTTGTCTTTTATTTATACTTATGAATAGAACTTAGAGGGCGGTGTTTCTCTATGACCTACGTATCATAGTCGTTAATATTAAAATGGAAGTCATCGCCCCTGCATTTATATCAGTTCTTATTTTATCACACTCGAATATTAATTTAATTTTAATAAATTATACTTAGATACCGCTAATTTAGTAATAATGAAACCAAGCAACAAACTTTATCATGCCAAAAGTGTACGACTGCACCGAGACTATTGGGATGCATTATAGGAGTGCCGTACGGTAATTGTTCCGCCAATTTTGGTGCATAATCATATATTTGTCAGGATTATACTTTGCGAGATAACTGTGAAATTTGACCTCGAGTGTATAGATTAAAGACACCTTTTGTTTTACTCCTAATTCAGTCAGTTTGGTTCATGGGAACTTGTATATTATATTCGGATAGATTTGCCATCACACGTTTAACAAATTGTATCAACACACCACCAACCCACATGCCACACCAACCACACCCACAGACGGTTATTTGAATAAAGTAATACTAACGATATTTCATTTGTGAACGCGCGGTTTAAGAACTCTGGACACACATACATACATATATTTTAGGTGAGCGCCGAAGGGGTGGACGGAATTAGGTATCAGATCAATTGAATAAGTAAACATTACTAAATAAATATTTGTATTATTTTGAAAACAGTATGAGGTTATAAGAGGATACTGCAAAGTATGCACGAAGGCAATACAGCTTGACCATCGACCAACACGTATCGGAGGTCGATGCAACCATGTACTGTCTTCTCTTAACCTTATTAATATACATCTTTTCCACCGAGGAATACATCATGGAAATGCCGAAATCCAAAATGTTCAGAAGAAATTTGGCAAACTCCTTATTGTGGGGTCCGGTCAAACCCTGGGGGCAGCCATGTTTATTTTTTATTATTAAAGGATGCTTACGCGCGTAATTGTTCCGTATTCATAATTCGTGTTTCCTAATATGGTAGGATGGAAATACCCAGTGCAATACCGCAAAATTACGGCACGCTGTAACTTGTGGCATTACGGTGACAGATGTATAATAATATATTTTATTGATATCATTTTTATTATTAATTAATGGTATGTATATAGTGGCACCGGCTTATTACAAAGTAAGTTCACTTATCTTCTTGTCTTCCATGTTCTTACTACTATACACCTATAAATCCATCTGAAATTCTTGCGAGAGTTCTGGTGTATCAGTTCCGATTTCCATTAACTTCTTGTGTCCAGTGGTACCAATTGTAGTTTAGTCATAATTTCTTGTTTCCAATAATGTTATGGTTTATCCAGTGTATATCTAAATGGTCTATCTATTTCTTTTGTTTGACCACATATACGAATAGCATGGGTTAAACAGAAGGAATGTGCACAGCACATCACTCCACCACCCCTAGCATTAGTGGTTTCTCCAACTTGCAGTACTTAGTATTTGCATATTACGTCACCACTCACAATTGTTATGGAGTTCACTAACCTCATCTTACGCATTACTGTAACGTTTTCTACAGCTTTGACACCTTTTAAAAGTTAGTATATAAGAACTGTTTTAGCTATGATTGTCGCCTTGATTTCAGTTTCAAGTATGTTGTGTAACACTGATGATATCCCAGTAATTTTAACCAAACTTGATTCACTTTATTGTACTTTATCTATTTGCTTTCATTTTTTCTGAATGCGTTAAGGTTGAAAACGATACCAACTTAAACAACACTAATCAGACGTTGTAACCTTTGTTTTTTACCTTTCCTTATTTCCCTTATTTCCTTATTCAGCATAGACTGAATATCCATCGATTAGTCTCATGTAGTTGACACCTATTTCGCCCTCCGTGTCATATCAATGTCAATATAATTTTCTTCGAATGGCTACACTCTTGACGTTGGAACATTTGAATGAGAACATGTATCGTTCAAAATAAATCGTTCGTGATTTTATGCAAAGTTGGATACATTTTTTAGTAATGGTATATTTAATCTAAGACAATAGAACAAACAGGGACAGACAGCTGCAGTCTTTTCCTCAACACTATGACCCTTCGCGATTTAAATACGATTTCGAACGTTCAACATGCAAGATTAGGTTTGAATATACCTAGACAGGTTGCTTCACAGATATACACAGACTAAAGAAATTTTAAATTCTCTTTTCAATTGATGAATTCCTAAACAATGACATACCTGACAAATACACGATTACCAGTAGAACATGAACCAATAGAATTTTAACATCATGTTATCAAAAAGAGTTACAAATCTGCTCTACGCCCCACTTTCATCTAAACTATTTACATAAATTACTCGGAAATTGAGACGACGCAGGTTCCCAGATGCTTTCTAATAAAACGTAACGCAAACAAAAGTCATTTTATTTTCATTGATGTTTGCCGCAGATGCCCGTATTCTCTAGTGATGTAGCTTTAATCTACTGATGTAAAATAGTTTACAATTCCTGAGACCACCTAGATACTAATTCGGGACAAATATAAGAAAGTAAGAGGTACAATTCCTGATAGATTACAGGAGGAGGACTATGGACATCTTCTTTGTATAACCGCGTTGACGAGGCTACTAAATCCCAGAGATCAAGAAACCGTACTCCAATACCACCAAATACGTAACGGACCATTCTGTTCATATCGTAGAAAAGCCAGTTACTGCTGTGAACTGATCGCACAAGCTCACGATTTTTCACTGGATGTGCTAATTTTATAATCACTTTTGTATTGGGACATCTTTCTCTCAGTCTCAACACTGCTAATTTAGCACGGTATATCCTCTCAAGGTACGCTCTTGTTGACCACAAATTATAATGATAAGCAAAGTTTAAAACTACTACGAGTTCTTTGGATCGACAGTCTTGTTGTCCAAATTTGTCAAGTAAGTCACTCTCTAGTATTCGCACTCGATCTGCTACTGTTCCAATTCGTGGACACACAAAATTATTTTCAAATCCTTCGTAATTAAACAACTCCTTGAATGATGTAACTAACTGTCCAATAGTAGAGTCACCGCTGACTATAAATAACTTATTTTGTAGACACTTTGAGGCTTCGGGTTTTGTCCATTGCTGACTTCTACAAACAAGTGGAATGAACGTATCTCTGTTTTTCCAGTAGCCATCAGTGATTGGAATCGGCATGTCAGGACCACATGGAGGAGGTCTTGGAGGTGT